GCATGTTTAGCCTTGAGAAAAGAAGACTGAGGGGTGATATGATAGCACTTTTGAAATATTTGAAAGGCTGTCATACAAAAGAGGGGCAAGATCTGTTCTCGATCATCCCAGAGTGCAGGACATGCAACAATGGGCTCAAGTTAAAGGAAGCCAGATTTCGGTTGAATATCAGGAAAAACTTCCTAACTGTTAGAGCAGTATGATAGTGGAACCAGTTACCTCAGGAGTTGGTGAGTGCTCCAACACTGGAGGCATTCAAGAAAAACTTAGATAATCACTGGCAGATATGCTTTGATTGTATTCCTGCACTGAGCAGGGGGTTGGACTTGATGGCCTTATAGGTCCCTTCCAACTTCACTTTTCTATGATTTCTATGATTCTATGATGGAATGTGACAATGCAGCATGTGACTAATGGGAGACAGATGACAAGATTCAGAGGTGTAAATAGATAATTCCCTGACTACAACAATCATGTTATTGCTGGAGGATTGGGGACAACACCACAGTCAAACCAAAGGGAATGTTACTTCCTTCCCTTTCACCCACTCCTTGTCCCACAAAACAAGGGACAGCCTACAGATCATTGTGCATGCAGATCCATTGTGCAAGCCATTCAGCATGAACATGCCTATATGCATGGAGAAAAGTACAACAACCAGTTCAAAATATTGACCATACACTTCTACTAATACTGAACGTTTGAGTGTTAGTAGAAGTGAACTCCCCATTTTTCGAGGCACAGGCTGTGATCAAGTGAAATCATTTTCCTGCTGTATAACCCTCATATTTCATGCTGAGTTAATAATAGATGGCTTAGTAATATTCAGCAAAGCACTATACTTTATAATGTTTGCATGAAAGCTTTATGCATTGGGAGGGCCCTCAGCTTTATTTCATCTTTTAAAAAAAGAATGCACTTTTAAACATACATAAGGTATGCAATGTATACTCCTGTTTTTATTTGCTTTCCAAATTTTATGATTAAAAAAAGAATTAAAGGAATTATAGAGATCTGCAAGTGTCCAGCCCTGGTATAATGTAACAAAATCCTCCAAGTATACTTACATGTCCAGAATATGATTGAAATACAGTAATGTTTTAGACCCATGATATCTTAATGAAAATTTGTAAATTTTTCAAAATGCTGTTTCTTTCCAGAAGATGGATGGTTTCTGTGAGGATTTCATCTATCTAATTATTTCTCCCTGATGACATAGCTACTCCAGATTTTTCATCTTACTCTAATCACAGCCAACAAGATGGAGGTGGGTTATTAGCAAATAGATTAATGGCACTTGTATGTATGTATGTATGGATGGATGGATGGATGGATGGATGGATGGATGGATGGATGGATGGATGGATGGATGGATGGATGGATGGATGGATGGATGGATGTAAAATACATATGTGTGCATGGAGTTTTAGGTTTCTGTTAGCTAACAAGCAAAATTGTTTATCATGTTGTTGTAGGGTAGATGGAAAATATTGGTGGCTATAGATGTTTGCTGTTATGTGCCATCAAAAGATGTCTGCCTTAGGTTGACTCTATGAATTAATGACATTCAAAGACCATTAGCAGTCCTCCTCAGTTCTTGCAAACTAAAATCTGTGGCTTTCTTCATTATGTCAATCCACTTCATGTTCTGACTTCCTCTTTCCTTCTACTTTTCCTAGCAGTGATTGTCTTTTCCAATGAATCTTGTCTTCTCCTTCTATGTCCACGGCACATTAGCCTCCGTTTAGTCATTTTAGCTTCCAATAGTGTTCAGGCTTGATTTCATCTCAGGGCAGACTACAATATTCATTCATTCATTCATTCATCATTCATTCATTCATTCATTTACTTATTTACTTACTTATTGACCAATTAGTGCAGAGCACTATTTTGGGTGGTTTACATAATAACAGCAAGATAAACAAAAACCTCAAGCATAACATAAAACAATGCCAAAAACCCAGTGTGAACTCAGATGGTGCTAAGAGTTAGAGCGGTGGAACAGGGACAGAAAAGTTCAATAAAAGGTTGCTTTTGGAAGTCTCCCAAAAGAGAAACATCTTCAACAGCCTCTTAAAACTAGCGAGGGACAGGGTGAGGTGTATCTCCACTGCTGAAAAGGTCCATTTTCTTATAGAAGATTTCCTGGCTTCTTCTGGCATAGCCACCCAGAGGTGCATAGCCTAAGAGGATTGAGTATCACAGGAAGATGATCTTGGGGAAAAATGTTCCAAGAGATAGGATGGTCCCAAACCATGCAGGGCTTTATAGGTTAGCACCAATACCTTGAATGTGACCTGGGATGCAACTGGAAGCCAGTACAAGTGAGCCAGAACTGGGGAGAGGTGATCAGATCTGCTCACACTGGCCACCAGCCTGGCTGCCGCATTGTGGACCTGCTGCAGTGTCTGGGTCCACCTGAAGGGAAACAGTACATAAACACCATTACAATACTTGAGCCTGAAGACCATAAATGCACGAACCAACATCTTGAGGGCTTCCTCACCTAGGCAGGGGAAATGAGTTTCAATAAAAGAGTATCAAATAAGAAGGGTGGATTATAGTAAAAGGAGGGTGGAAGAAGGAAATCAGGAATCAGCCACTGGAACTGCAATAAACTGAGAGAGAGAAACAGAGAGAAGAGAAAACTGTATCATCCAAGTGACAGAGAGTGTTGGTTACCTTCAAATGGTCCTCCAGTTCTGGTACTCAGAATAGCCTTGGAGATGGTCCCCCTGGGCTGATGGGGGGGGTCATTTCTGTGAATGGGGAAACACCACTCATCTAGGTCCTGATCCTAGATGAATATGTTGCCTATATTACAAAGACCTTGCCGAATGAAGCTGGGATGGGGCAGAGGGGTCAGTCTCATTCAGTTTTGTCTGCCTGAGTTCTCTAGACAACAGCAACTGAGATTTGGAGTTCAGGCAGGTGGATCTGCAGCTCCATCCTCACCAGGTGCCCCATCTTACAGTCCACTATATATTTGAGAGTGGGAACCGGAAACAGAATAGGGGGTCTGTTGTTCACTATTCACCTTATTGGTCAATGGTCTCCCTTTCTGAGTTAATCAAGCTCATCTTGGGAGTGGTACTGGATTCACAGTAGATATCAAAGGGAGGATTTGCTCTTCTAAATTACAGGCCCACAGATTTGAGATTTTGGGTCAACTACTTCCAAAGTTCACTTGTTTTCTCCTCTCCATCCCCCTTTTCCTTTCATCTCAATAAGACTGCAGGGCCACAATAATATTGGAAAGTTAAACACTTCCACTGCTCCATAGAAGGGCAGAGGAAGTAAAATTTTTAAAAACTGCATTAGGACAGTGCTGATGCACTGCATCACTTTGAAAAAAAAAAGAAAAATTCAGAATTGGGAGGAAAGACAAGAGGGCAAAAAGGGGAATTTTTCCCTTTTTCCTTAAATATCTGGGTGACAACCACCCATGGGCAAATCCACTGCTGAGTACCAGGAATCTCAAGAAACCTTGTGGCACAGTGGTTAAACTATCATACTGCAGCAAAAACTCACGAACTGGATTCAATCCCAGATAGCTAGTTCAAGGTTCACTCAGCTTTCCATCCTTCCAAGGTCAGTAAATTAAGTACCCAGTTTGCTGGGAGGGGGAGAGGTTGCCAATGTGTAGCCTGCATAATTAAATTGTAAACTGTCCAGAGAGTGCTTTAAGTACTGTGGGCAATATATAAACAGCACACTTTGCTTTGCTTTTACCAGCCATTCTATGGAGCAGAGGGAGGAAATAAAAATGCTCCATGGAGGGATAGAAGAAATCATTTTGGTTTTTAAAAACTGTATTAGGACAGAGATTTTTTCTTTTCTTTTGCTTTCTTAAAGGACTCAAACCAAATAAGGTTGCTTGAAGTGTGTATACCATTTGGATACAAGGATCACACCAAATAGTATACAATAATGGTACTTGATCTTCAGTGACCCTATGTAGCCCACACCAACCAGTTTCGAATTAGTCCATCTAGACAAATCCTCAATTGGCAAAACTAGTGCAGGACTACTATAACTGCTCCTATGGCTACCTTATGTGGAGCAGCATCTTGACAAAATATCACCAAGCCTTGACCTTCCTAAATCAATGGCGAAAAGGAATAACATTTAATTCACATGCATGCTTCCCTAGTACAGGTGCTATGACGTAGATTAGAACATTCCATTGAAAACCAGTTCCCTTTCTTGTATGTCCCAACAGACAAAATTGCTTGCCATTTTTCTGCTTGTCACTCAGGGCACTAGCTATCAAATTTCTCCTGTGGCAAGGGAGGAGGGTCCACTGCTTTCCTTCTGCTATCGCATGAAGTCAAACACTTCCCCCGATTCACAGACCCAACTATCTGCAATGAACAGCAAACAGCAGCATATTGATGGAAAGGAAAAGGGGGATGGAGAAAAGATCTGTCTGAAAGAGAAAGGCAAATTTAAAGTTGCAAGCTCTGCTTTGGTTCATTTTTAGCAATCACATGTACTGGGAAATGAACCAAAATAGAGCAGCCCTACCCATACCAAAAAAGTCATAGTCCCTGACAGGAATGCTCTGGTTAGTTCGCTCCAGCGTTACATCATGTGATTGCTGGCAAAAGGAGGTAGTCCCTGACAGGAATGCTCTGGGGACAGATTAGTTCGCTCCAGTGTTACATCATGTGATTGCTGGCAAAAGGAGCAAATGAGCCTGTCCCCATAGTGAACCATCTCTTTGCATACTGAGTAACCAAACAGAATATGGAAGACTTATAAACACCACTGGTAGATGCTCCTACACTCTATGTGGTTGGAGAGGGCAAGATAGCTTGTCAGTCAGTCTTCATGGGTGATGAAGCTTTCAGTCATCTTCTCTGCTGTCAACTGGAACCAGCTCAGCCTCTGCCTTATATGGTACTGTTATTTTCTTTTCCCCCTTTTCTGCTTTTCCATTTCATATCTGAGCAGTCTCGGGATATGACCATCAATCAGCCATAAATCCACCTCAACACAGTACACGTCTCACCCATATTTTACCTGCTTCAATACAAGAATATCAGGCAGATCTTTTCAAAATGGAAATCTAAATATACTTCAGGCACAGCATAACCCTGACCTACCAATGTAGTAACTATGGAGAGAGAGAGAGAGAGAGAGAGAGAGAGAGAAGAAAAGATAAGTGTGGCATGGCTTGTTTTGGAAGAATCCATGTGGATTCTTGGCGGTCACTGTGTCTTTTCCTAAGTGTTCACAGACTGCCTGTTTAATAATCTGTTCCAGAACCTTTCCTGGTATCAATGCCAAGCTGACTGGCTTTATCTTCCTCTTTACCTATACTTGAGTGGCAGCTCTCTTATTGCCCCTCTATTATATTCCCGTTAGTTGAGCCTACCTCGTACCAGAAGCAAAGAGCTAGGCTGGAATTATGTTCCTCTTGTCCATTCTCTCATTCTCTCCCTCTCTTTCTTTCCGTACGTGTGCATGTGGATAACTATTTTCATTGTGGTTCTACCCATCTGTGTTATGCCTGCCGACCTATCAACAATAGTGGGCCCCATTTTCAGAACGGAAAATTGAGTCAGAACTGTCAGCTTTTCCTGTGTGCTGAAAAATGTGGTTGCTGGCAACTCAGTCCTTCGAGTTCACCTCAACTGCTGACTGTTCCTGTTATCATTCTTCTCCGTTTAGTGAGAGAGTATACTCAAAAGCCATCTCCTGCTCGGCACACCTGTCAAAGCAGCAAATTATTTTGTGAAGGGGTACCTGACTGCCCTTTAGTTGATCCTGGGGCTTGGAAGCGTGCCAGGCTGTCCCATCTGGAGCCTTTGAAACTGTACTCTGCTGAGTGGAAGCAGCCTCTTCTTTAACCTTGACGAGCTTGATGTTCGCTTCTAGTCCCCAGCAGTAAAGGATGGGATCATGAGGAGAGCATTCTCCGGTCACATGGCTGGAGGGCTCCTGGTTCTTGTTACATGTGGGTATAAAGAAGCATTTGTTAGGAACTGGTGAACTGCAGCTAAAGTGGGGATTTGGCATTTACGGGGACTGTAGTTATCACCTTGATCAGTTTCCTCTTTTCTTTTTTCTTTTTCTTTTTAGATTTACAGTTGGCAGAAGCTGTTCATGTGAATTATATCAGATACAGAAACATTCACTGTGAATTATTCTAAAGCCAGTGCTTTTGTTCATGTGAGTTATCAAAGTAACTCTCCAGTCATTAAAAATCTTATTCCTTGAAATAAATAGGTTCCCAAAGTTGGAGGAGGGGGGGAATCTCACAGAAAGATTCTCTGTGAAATTGTGTTTTTTTAGTTACTTTATTTATTTATTATCACTCTATACTTTGGAACATATGGAATATGCTACCAACATGGGCAAGGTAAGCAAAGCACATTAATTGTCTCATAATATCTACAAGTTTTCTCAGAAGGAGGAAGGACCACGTACACAGTGTTTTGGTGTGGACATAAAATAGACATAAAATTACTTTTTTGGATAATGGGTCCCCAAATCCCACATCCTGCATTGTTTGGTTGGCTTTGAGAGTTGGGGTTTTATCATCAAAAGGGGGGGCTCTTCCAAGTCCTCTAAATGGGCAGCCAAAGGAATGTGGGTGTCACATCACTTGTTCTAATAATGGATTGTGCAAACAGGACTATAGCCAGAACAAGGCCATTTTAGAAGCACCAATTAATAAATATATCAAATAATTTTTGTCCAATAATGGGCAAGATGAAGACCATGTGGATAGAGTGGCAGATTAGGAATCTAGAGGCCAGAGTTCAAATTCCTGCTTCGCCATGTAAGCTCACTGGGTGTGTGGAATTGGTAAAAGGACTCCTTAAATATCTCACTTACCTTGAAAGCCCTATTTGAGTTGTTTGTAGTTGGTTCTGGCTTGACAACTCATAACCGACTTCAAATTTCCCATAATACATGTTGAGGGGCACAGACTAAACTGACATGAAGGTGAAATTGCCTGCTCTTCTCTGTTCATGCAGAGCACTGTGTTAGTGTGAAACCCCCATTGTCTTAGGTTCATATTGATTCCACTGACTCTAGTCTGTAGCCTATTGACTTCCAGATAACTCACTTAACTGAGTCCATCCATGTCATACTTGGTCTTCCTCTTCTCCTGCTATCTTCAAATTTCCCTAAGCATTATTGTCTTTTCTGTATCATATTGAAAGAGAGCAGTTAGCCATTAAGGTACCACAATGTTTTTGTCTTTTTTTAATTTTATTTTGTTTTTACTTGACATACAGCCAAGAAACCAGAAGACTGAAACTCGGAAGGGCATCAATGAAGGGATTAGGAAAGATCATCAAGTATAAGGACATGTCACTGGAACCAAAGCCAAGATTATCCACACTTTTGTATTCTTGACCACCATGTATGGGCATAAAAGCTGAACAGTAAAGGAAGCTAACGGGAAAAATGATTCATTTGAAATATGGTCTTGGAGGAGATCTTTGTGGATAGCCTAGGCTGCCAAAAAGATGAAAAAGCAGGCCCTAGATCAAATCAAGCCTGAATTATCTCTGGATGTAAAAAAGGCTGAAACTGAGGCTGCCCTACTTTGGGCACATAAGGAGAAGGCAAGATTAGACAGTAATGATGGGAAAAGTTGAAGGCAGTAGGAAAAGAGGAAGACCAAACACAGGATGGATTAACTTCCTGAAGAAAACCACAGATTTGAGTTTACAAGAGCTGAGTGGGGATGTAGAAGACAGGGCCTTTTGGGGATCTCTTATTCAGAGTTGTCCTAGGTCGGAGGTAACTTCATGGCATTTAACAACATCAAACCGGGGGTGGGGGAGTCAAGGACAGAAATTTCCATGTGACTGTTTTACTAAGCCTCCACAGGTTTTCTTTGGTTACCTGGGTAAACATTGTGTTTCTCTTGCTTTGAGTGCACATTCTTTAAAACAAGAGGAGAAAAATAAAGAAATAAAAGGTTTTATTATATTCATCCATGAAGGGGGCCTAGAGTGTTTTAGCAGAAGTATTAAAACCTGCAATGTAGTTTCCAGAACATTCATACTATTTTGTGCTGAGGTGGGGTGTTAATAAAAGCCAAATGTTCTGCATTCATCTGTCACCCATGACCCCATTCAATTTAGTGGCTCTTGTTTTAATTTATATTCCTAAAATGAAACAGGCTGAATTGCAACCTCCTCGCTTTTCTAGTTAGAAATTTTAGTCATAGATCGTGTATTGCACTAGAATGAAAAAGAACAAGCGACAACCAAGTTTCCCCCTATCCTTGGTATACAGGTATTTGTTTTTTCTACCTTTATCAGCAATAGGTCAGAGGCTGCAGAATATCTGGAGGAAGGGTAGGAAGCACAGCTAAGATCCAACACCCTTTCTCTGTTTTATTTCAAGTGCATTGGTCCACACCTGTTTATTTTACATGACATGCATTAGCAGTAACAGCAAATGTGACCTTATGTGTTGCTGACTGTGAACTTTGTTTTAAAAAATGAAAGTTGACGTACCCTTTTTACAAGTAAGCCTACCGAAATTTATAGGCCAAGTTTTCAAACTCCTATGGCCAGATGTATTCTCCATAGGGTGATTCCATAATAACTGGAAAGCTCTGTGGCATTGGAGTGGGAGCTTGCCATCCCTCACCCAGCTCACATAATCAGTTGAAAGCCAACATAGCTTTCATGAAAGACATGCATCTCTGTTTCCCCCAGCGAGTGAGGTGCGTAAGACAGAGATACCGAAGGGTTCCTTCTCTGGCATGAACATTGTCTTCATTTTGGCACCCAATGAAATTTTGGTCTTCACCAAAGCCTTTTTAGTCTAAGGATCATAGACTGGATGGAAGGGTTGTGTGTATATTCTAAACAATTATAAAATGTTCTGAATCCTTCTAAAACTGTTTCATATTCTTCTGAGTCTTTTTTTCCCAACAGTTTAAAACTGTTTCCGGTTGTTTTGTATCTGCATCCTGCTCCGAGATCTTGTGAAACAGGGAATTATATAAATAGTCGTAGAATGATCATAGAGTAATAGATTTGGAAGGGGCCCACATGTCCATTGAGACCAACCCCCTGGCTCAATGCAGGAATCCAAATAAATGAAGAAATAAATGCATACACACATGCATTTACTGAAAGAATGCATGTGAGATTTGCTGTGTTTGGCTGGATTCATTGATCCATAGGGTCCCTTCCAGTTCTTCATTTCTACGATAATTACTGTTGATATTGTTGTTGATAGCAAGCACTGAAATAATGCATGTGAGATTTGCTGGGTTTGGCTGAATTTATTGATCCATAGGGTCCCTTCCAGCTTTTCATTTGTAAGATAATTACTGTTGATATTGTTGTTGATAGCAAGCCCTTCTTCCCCAATACACACCAACATTATGTCTGATCTTGTCTCCTGCCAATACACACACATCTCTGCTGTCTCCATCATCAGTTGGCAGAGGTATAACCAGGTGCTCATTTATGCAAAATTGATATCTTTATGAAGGATGAATTCTAATGGGAAGACTTGTACATGTACATGCCACTGTTGAGTCTATTTCCACCCGGGGTTAAGACATGTGCAATGGGGAGTTGTTTGGGCATTGGAAGGAGGGGTGTGGCCTTGGCTTATATCCTCAGCAGGGCCTGCGGTCTTGCCCACTGGAGTGGGGTGCATCCATGCTATATCAACCTCACTATGTGTTTTTTTGTTTTTTTAAGAGACACACTTCAGATCTTATAGGATTGTAGCACTTCAGGTGATGCATGGAGATCTGCTAGTATAGATGCTAATATACTTATATGGCAGAACCATTTTCTCTTCCATGCTCACTGTTTGCATTCAGAGGGTTTCTGAAATGGACAGGCATTCAGCCCCTTTGCTTCTTCCCAATATTTTAAAGTCTAAAGAAAACTCTTCCCTGCTTGTTTCTTAACATGCATACAGACTAGAGATGGGGACAGCTCACCGTTTTGGTGAGTCGTCCCGCTTCGTGAGTCGTCAAAAGTTGTCCCCATGAAGTGACGAATAATGAAGAAATTCATTGATTTGTGGGAAGGTTTATTTTAAAAACCCACACATCCCATCCCACCCCCGCTGCCACCACCCCCCG